AGGTTGTTTTGTTCAACCCGCATACCTGAGGTGAAAAAAGACAGGCTAGCCACGTTTGAGAATGCTCGACACATGGTGGTCATGAGGAAAGGAAACTTTTATGTTTTCGATACCATTACAACTGATGGTAAGAATCTAAACAATTTTTTGTGTTGAATTAATTAATATTTACATGAAGTTTTAACATCGTGTGCTTTTTTTATTGGTAAAGTCATCTCACACCTAATGGACACCTCGATCTCTAAGAGGGATGCCTCTCTATCCAGAGTTGGGCCCTGCAGTTCTGCAGTCTTTTTGTTGGGTTCCTTATAGCGCAGACACATCCTAACTTAGTGCCTGTCCCAGCTAGAGAGAATTTTCTGTTTACTTTATACGGGTAGACACAAAAAAGTGTCATGTGAACAGGTAATCGGATGATCGATCTTAGCGGTATAAATTTACCCTACCTACGCGTCCCTATGCGTACCCCTAAGAAAAACTCCTGTACCGCCGTTGTACGTAATTGTCGGATTTACTCGAAAACAATTCACTTGCCCGCAGTAGCAACTTGAGGCAATTTTACGCTGTTTTGTGCCGCACCTTTCCACACGATGACGGATCGATTTACCAACGAGCAAAAATGTATCTGGCTTAGCGGAACATGGCTTTAATAGTGGGTTACAGTGGATGGAAGAAGGATCTACTTTTGTCGCAGGCAAACCATTTAACGGTTACTATGGACAGTAGCCTCATAAACATTTCACATCGCATCGTAGAGTAAAGGGCTGCAATGGACCAGTCCTGCATAACTTCTTTGTATGCATATTACCAAAGCGGATCTACAAACCACCCTGATTTCAGTGATTCGTTTTGAAAACTGATCCTATTACTTTGTAATAAGGCTAAAAATTCGCCGTCCTTATTAAATCATGAGTAAAAGGTGACAAAGCAACATTCGAGCCCTAGTAGTATGCAGGATGTTTGCTGAATCAACTACCTAGTTCAAATGAGGCCTTAGCTCGCACAAGTCTACTATGGCTAAGTGGTAGCAACCACTCTTGTTGGTAGAACTCATTTTTTTTCCTCGGTCCCCTGCGTCATTAACTGAAGAAACATCATTTCCTTACTATTTTGTCTTCGTTTTAGGTGATATAGTGCCAACCGCTACCATTTACCAGAATTTGAAGCACATTGTAGAAGACCCCTCCCCTCCCCCTAAGTTCCCAGTTGCGGCTCTGACTACTGAGAACCGTGACACGTGGGCAAACATTCGACGTGCCCTGCAGGCGGAGCCTAGTAACGAGGAAGCGCTGCGTTTGATTGACAGTGCTATTTTTGTACTGTGTTTGGATGATCATGGAGTGGAAAGTGTTGCAGATGTAACAAGAACGTTTCTTCACGGCGATGGAACAAACAGGTTAGATATGTCATGAGTCGCCGAAATTGTCAGCATTGAAACTACAATCATTATCTTGGTCAAAATTAAATGAACAAGCACCCCCGCCCCCCATCCCCCGCCCCTCCCCAGCGAAATCAAGCATGAGACCGCGCGAAGGCAAAACGCGCTATTTTCACATCCATGATTCTAGGGAAGAGGCAGTTCTTATAGTTTTCCGTTTATGTTGTCGAAGACGGAATAGGCACAGAATACAATTATTGGAAAGGTAAGGCCAGAAGAAAATAACTCATCATTCATAACTCATTTATCGCTGAATAAATTATACGAACTGTCAGCCTTCTTCTCTATAGCTAATCTCTTGAACATCTTTCTTTTAAACAATACAACACAGCGTCTTATTCCATTCGTTTTAACACATTTCTCTATTTGAAATCGATTTTTGAAAAAACTGTCCGTTTTATTAGTCGGATTATTATTTTGTTCCAGACTTGTTTACAGTATGCTTGCCCCCTGTTTTTCCTTCTTCTTTTTCTTACAGATGGTTCGATAAATCTTTCCAGCTGGTGGTTTGTAAGGACGGTAAGGCAGCTGTAAATTTTGAGCATGCGTGGGGAGACGGAGTTGCTGTGTTACGTTTCTTTAATGAGGTAAAAAGTAATTTTGAAAATTTCAGTTACAGTGAAACCTGTACATTTTAAGCGGACCACCGTATTGAGGGTACTTATTCGTCAGAGAGTCCCGCACTATTTTTCTCATATTTTCTATAAACAGACTTGTACTGTGTGAACATTTCTATTTGGCGGTCAGTAAGGAGGGCTCCTGTTTGTTCACTACGTACAGGTTGCACTGATCTGTATAAAACAGTGCTTTAATTTAGCAGAAAGGGTAGTGGGGCTGAGGAACACTCATATTGAACCATCATTGATCAGGACGTCGAAAAGGTAGTTTACAAGCGTGATCAAGAAGTTGACATTTTTACTCCAGATAATGACCAGAGCTGATTTAAAACCGGATCTTTAGATCATAGGTCCGCCGGCTTAATCTTTCGGAAACAGCGCCGTTACCTTCCCTCCCACTCCATTTCCTGGCTCCCTCCATCACGGCCTCCCTTCCTCCCAGCTACTATACCTCTCTCCCTTCTCCCTTCCCATTCATGGGCAGTGACTTTGAGGGGGAAACTGAAACCAAAGTTGTTTGTTTCAGGTCATGGAGTGATCACGAATGTCAACAGCAATTCGAAAATTGATCATTTCGTCTAAGGACTGTGGGAATTGAGCATATAGTCAACCAACATGAATGCCATTAATTTTTACAATGTCTCGCCACTTATGCTATTGAAAATACGGCTCGGAAAATTTTATTTCAGCCCAGGAAATTTGAGGTTAAGAGTCGGCTCTGTCAATAAGTTGGTCGAATAGGAAACTGTTAAACGAGAAGGGGTTACATTGACTGTCACACAGATACACTTACCAGTTATTATTACGGATCTCTTTTGTTGTAGGTTTACAAAGATACGACCACACGTCCCTCCTGTACAGCGGCTAGTGCAAAGAACTTAAGCGCCGACCTGACGGTCAGAAAACTCGAATTCACCTTTACACCTGAAACAGAAAGAGGGATTTCTGCTGCTAAGGAGAAATTTGATAATACAATCAAGGAACTGGACATTGCTGAAATGCAAGTTTTCACTTACGGTAAAGATTACATCAAAAGAAAAAAGCTCAGTCCAGATGCTATCATGCAGCTTGCATTTCAGGTGAGAAACACTGAGTAAGCCCTGTAACCTAAAGAGGTTCTTACTTCCCGGGCACTAGACAGTGGGAGCAAAGACTCGGGACAAAATTGGCCAAAATTCAAAATTTTGCCGCGTGCGTATCAAGAAAGCAACAAAGTAATTTTAGGACAGAAATTCCGTTCAATTTTTGGATGAAATTTTCCTGCAGGTTACCTAGTAAGTTCTGGTCAGGAAAGGGCTTAATTAAATGCGCTTTTAAATGGCAGTTTCTTCCTTCTAAGATTACGTTCTATTGATCGTATTCCTGAATAAGAATACGCAGGAATTTGATACAAAACTCCGCTGCGCGTGAATTTTGGACCGATGGAGTGCTACTTTCACGTTAATATCTTTAATAGTTCAACCATATTTGTCGCTGTTACGACGCAATGAATCCTAAAACAAGGTATTTCTAGAACTGACTCCATTTATTCTTATTCCGTAATATTGTCAATCGAACACGGGTCAGCCACAGGTTCGGTTTAAAACGTCTTGTAAATCTTTATATGGTGGCATCATCTCAGGTTTGAAGTGTGTTCTCTTGAAACCTGACATTAACTTGTTGAAGTGTCTTCCCTTCATACCATTTATTTGAACGAACTATCCAGATTTCTTTGTTACAAGTAGAAATGCTGAAATTGGTAAGTTAGACCGCTGATAAACAATGACTGCCTTAAGGTATCGACCTTGAGATACTAAGTACCAGATATCGCCATTGCTTGAAGAGTGTGGTTTCGACTGAAGACACGCCTGGTGAATTTCTTTTTAACATGCCCTTTACACGCCGTCATCATCTTTGTGTTCATCGTCGTCATCATCGTTATCATAGTCGTTGTCATCATACTCATCCTCATCTTCAGTTTTGGAAACAAATAGCCATTTTTTTTGCCATTTGCGCAAACAGATATAGCTAATAGAGGAGGTTTGGAAAATAGAACACCTTGTAGAGTATGTACTTCTAAATCATGTGCGAAAGACTCGACCTGTAGTATGGCTTGCCAGAATCTCTGTCCGATTTTAACTTTTCATTCCGTAGATGGCGATCTTTCGCCACAGTGGCAAGTTTGTTCCCACTTACGAGTCATGCAGCACTGCGGCGTTCAAACACGGGCGCACAGAGACGATCAGGCCAGCAAGTAACGCTACTGTAGCATGCGCAGAGGCTTTCGAAAGGTCGCACCGCGCAGGCGTAGAAGAAATGACGGACAGGATCCGCCGAGCCGCGGACTGGCATTCTAAATTGACGAAAGAAGCAGCCATGGGTAAGTCTATCAAGTAACTAGTCGGTGTTAAACTTCAGGAAATAAGTCATCCACAAAGTTTAAATGGGAAACCCTTCAACTACCAGTAATATAGAAAGGTGCTGCTTGCCTGATTCGCTTTGCACGCTAACTGCATATCATGTGGTATTGATCCTTTGTCTTGTTGGAAGTATGAAGGGTGCATATATGCGAAAATACTCCCTTGACTGTCGCCATATGATCCACTTTAAGGCCACAAAACCACGAAAGGAGTAGAAAATGTAACACAGCTCCTCAGCCATAGCAGGCGGCAAGTGCTTTGTTTTAATGGTCAATAATCAGAACCACTCTGCAAGGCGTAACAATTATTGCCCTGGAAAAATGCCGTTCAATCTGTCTCCCTGTTTTTTGTTGAGCAACGTTTTTATTTGTATCTCCACCTTTTTGCAGGCCAAGGCTTCGATCGTCATCTCTTTTCCCTGCGCATTCTGGCTGAGTCCATTGGAAAATTGCCTGAAATCTTCCAAGATCCAGCCTACAAACAGATCAATCACAACATACTATCCACCAGCACTCTCTCCTCCCCAGCTTTAATGCTTGGTGGGTTCGGTCCCGTGGTTCGGGACGGGTTTGGAGTTGGTTACGGGATCCAAGACGATTGGTTGGGGTGTAACGTGACTAGTTACCCTCCTAATACGGACGTGCGCGGGTTTTTAGAATGCGTTCGGCGTAGTTTAGAAGATATTTATAGTGTTCTTGAAGGCAAAAACTTTAAGCAATGAATTTGAGACGATTCCCTACATTAGCTTGCTGTTTCGTGGGTATGGAACAGGAGCCAAACAATCATTTTCTTTCCACGTTCGTACCTTCCAATTGTTACTCTTCCTGTTTCAGTCGCTGGATGACTGTGCGGAAATTCTATTGTAGCTGCACGGGTGGTCCTTGCGCCCTCGTACTCTTGTTAAGCTCGCGCATTTGAATTTCCAGAAGGACTTTCTGAAGTACGGTTTTGTCTCCTAGTACCTTGGAATGTTCAAAACTGCTGTTAATGCCAACGAGCTTCATGTTTAATAAAAGAGCAGGATACTGTTTCTTGGCAAAAGTTGTATCTGAACTTTTTCCCTCTTGTCTTAACCCCTGTCTCCCCCTGTCAGTTAAGCAAGCCAGCGTACTATTCTTTATATAGGCCAAAAATCCAGTGTTAGATCAAAGGCATGCGCGCGACATCTGAGATCAATGTTGAAGGTTCAATACCTATACACACTTTTGTGCTTTCCTATGCGCAAGGATATAGAAAAATTATGCGCGCGCATGTTGATTAAATAAATGAAATTTAATAAGAACGTCGTCATCTACTTAGAATGCAAGCGTCTGTGACGTAAAGGTGACTTTCCGTAAGTTACAAAAGGGATGACTTTTCAGTGCTCTGTAACATAAGACTCCTTAATGACCGCTCTTTTAAAGATCATCATTTTCTGGCTTTTAATTGCCTACTCTTTACAAGAAGATGCTAAAAGCCCGAAGAGAAAAACAGAAACATCTGAGCCTTCTTCCGGATCGAATAGCATAAAGCAACTCACAGGCGACTTCGACCATTACTTAACTGAAAGTCTAGCTAAACAGGCCATTGGACTCAAAGAAATGGAGGTAAGGCTTATCCTTTCAGTCTTTGATGAAGATGTTTGTTTAACAACCTGCACAACATTACAGTTTTCATTCTCTTTAATAACATATAACAGTTTGGCTTACATGGTATTGTGATTAGATACAGGTTACTACTAATAAGTTTTCACCAGGGCCGGGTTGTTCGAAGCTGGGTTAAGGTAACCCCAGGGTTAGTGCGAAATTTGAACTCAGATATGAGAGCTTAAGGGGCAAATTTAGTTTAATTCTTTTTGCCTAAAATTTGATGATTGGATACTCCGAAAATAATAGAGAAAATTATCCGAGGGAGTGCTTTGATAAAAAGAAAACGAAACCTGGGTTAAAATTTAACCCAGGGTTTGCGCTACATTAAGCTAAACAAATGTGTCAGTTCATTTTAGGCTGACTTAGTTAAAAGGCTTTATAAGGTAGATGCATAATCAGAAAGTGACTAAGTTGGGACTGTGAAAATTACTTTTTTTCCAGAAGTGACTACGATGGGGTTTATAATATGGCCACCAAATAAACTCTAACGGGGTAGGGGTTCCGAGGGTCCAGCGACACATACCCAGCAAAAATTAACCCAAGTAACCCCCCTGCCAGGTTTCTGGCTAGACCTCAACTTTTCTTATAAAAAGGCTCCTGATCGTTTTAAAGCAACAGTACTTCATTCATCAATTGTTTCACCGGAATCCAGCGCTGTGACTGGAAATGTTCTACTAAACGTGCAGGTTTTTGTGGCATTTAAGAATACTCCACAGGCAGTCTCTCCTATCAGCTTTTGTTAAATGCTGTTATAAGGTTTTCGTTCAAAATCATAATTCACTCAGTGCCATTGAAAACTCTGAAGGGTGAAATCATGTCTTTATCTCATGGTTTATGTTTGTGTTTTTTAGCGATGGCTGGACCCAAAAGGTTTAAGAGTATTAGAGGGAACATACCTTGCTGGAAGGGAAATCATCAAAAAACTTGCCTCGGATTTGACCAAGCGGCTAAATGATAAGAAAAAGGCAGTACAAAAAATCACCACCAAAGTATTTCATGCTCTTAACACTGGAAAGGAAGCACCAAAAGGTAGGAATACGGGGGAAGGATGATTCATTCAAGGGCAAGGGAGAAATTTCGAGGACGTGCGCTCTCACAACAAAAACTACGAACAGAATAAACTCAACGGCGTCTGCAGGATAAGTAGTCTTCAATGGTAGTAGTCAACCTCAATAGCTAAATACCTTTCTTTATTATATGAATGAACAGTTAGTAGCTCACGAAGCTCAGATCTGTGTCTAATTATTCACACTTTAAGACCGGCCCCGTCTGGGCGGCAAATTTTTGAACAGACAAATGTATAACCTATACAACCCGTTTACACTGTACCGTGCAAATTCTTTTACAGATTGCAACACTGTTTCTACGAGTCCGCGTAGCCAGCAGGCTCCAGGCCTTAAAAAAAAAACTCTTGCGTGGTTTAAGTGTTAAAACGAGTCCGCGGAAAAGTCGAACTGTGCTGACCAGAAGATTTTACCAACTTCTAAAATTGCACTCTTTGCTGGTCAAAAACTGGCAAGGTTCCAAGGGTGCTCAGTAAACGGCGAAAGGCTGATCCGTGCAAGTTTTTGTCCGTTTAGAAAATTTTTAAAATAGTGTTATGAATTTACTTTTCCTTCAGAATATTACCAATGTTGTGACTTACCAGACCGGTATGAACTAACTTACGATCCTCGCTTTAAGGACAAGATCACCCACGAGATATTCTGTACAATGAAAGCTCCTAATCATTTACAAAAACGTCAGTTAGACTTAAGAAATGTGAGGACAGCATTTGACAAAAACCTGAAGGAGGTAAGTTCAGTAAACCCGCCTTGCAACACCGTCTCGCTTAATATGGACAGTTTTGTCTGTCCTTTTAGACACGTTTAATACAGATAAAGGACACTTTTTCCATTGGTAATCTATAGACAGATTCTCATAGGCAGTTAACCTCGCTTATGCGCATTCGACAATCATTTCTCTTCTGTGATGTAAAGCCTTCGCGCTTTGTTGTTCATAACCTTAACTAGACGAGATAAGTCTTGACGTCAATTGCGAACTATTTTCCGCAACAAATGACTGAGTTCTACCGAGCGCTTTACAGATTGAGAAATGTGTAAATAAACCCGTTTTGACCCTAACTTTGCGTGTTTTCGAAGACTTAGTTCAAGGAAAAATGGTATTTGTAATTAAGGGAAGCTTATTTTGTTGACGCATATGTTCTTTTCTCTTTTTTGTTATTTGACTCACCCACTTACTAAGGACCCCCCCGCCTGTTCAATGCGGACGTTGTCTACGGTCTCCAGTTGGGGGTTGGACTGAATTCTCGGCTCCTTTCTTTGCAGTTGTAACACTTTCCCTTCGGACTCCTGGATATAAAGTACAATCCGGTTATGGAACAGCAGTTGAATTCTCGTTATTTCGGGCAAATGGACAATTTCTTGACACTTCGAATTCATTATTTTGTCTCTCCTTGTAACAGTCACACAGCGCCATCTTTCAATATTCAGTAAAGTGTATTTCACTTGTCCTCACCATTAGCCTCTTCCGCGTTTTCTTTTGTTGCGCATCGTCGGAAATTACAAGTAAAACAAATACAAGTAAACTTTTCTTAAGCTGAGTTGTTCGAAAGTTTAGCACAAATGCATGATTAATGACCATGGCAATTCATTGCTCTGTTTGCGGTTAATTCTGTAGGATTAGAGCTAAACGGGCTTAGAGAAAAAGTTTTTCTAAAACATATGATCTTGTCCTTATATCTATATTTTCTTCCCAAAGCCGCTTATTACCTGATCTCGGTCATGAAGGAATTTTGGCTAGATAATACTTTAGTGACCTTAAGATACACCGTTTCTGCCTACGGGTATGGGTAGACAAACATGTTTGCCAAGTAGTTGTCTAAAAGGCAATCATGATTTCCCAGATGTGATAATGGCGTTACCGTTCTACGCGGTAGCCTAGCCGTTGGTTTCTCCCGGTAACAGGCAATCTACCCCGTATTTAAAGCTGCGCCTGTGGGTAATTTTTACGTACCCGTACACGGAAACGGCGTATCTTAAGGTCTCTATTGCGATCTTAGGGCGTACACCACCTGTTATCTACTTGATTACGGACACACTAACCGTACCTCTTAGTCTCAAGGTCCTGCAGCAGTAACTGGAGTTGATTGTTTTTCGGTTACTTCCCTCAAAAGAATGTATTCCACTGCTGACATGTTTTGTATTGTGCTCTGCAGTCATCTTTAAAGGTAAGGTGGCAGTATTATGGGTCAGCGGAAGGAGTTCTTGCCGGCTATCCAGGTGCCAGTGTTTCTGACTGTGATAGCTATGACAACAGACTGAGACCTTGGTACGTTACCACAGCAACACCGTCACCTAAGAATATCATAATACTACTGGACTGTAGTACGTCAATGGGTTTTAATGGCAACTGGGAAGCTGCTATACGTACCTCGGAAATTGTACTGACCACACTTAACCCCGAAGATAAGGTAACCTGGATTTGATTAACTAGATATACTAGATAAACACACGAGGAGAACAGTGTCCCCTTTGCCTCCCCCTCACTTGGTTAAATTGATAAGACATCACAAGAAACGTTTTCCTTCTTTGTTTCCATGAAACCGTTGACTGCAATGGTAGTGCTCGCTGCATATGTGTTAATTTTTTCCATATTTTGACCTCACCCCTTCAAAGTAACGGAAATACTATTTTCTGGTCTTTTTTTTAGTTCGTTAAAAGCAAAACTTAAAATTGCAAGCAGTCCCTTTTGGAATAAATGTCCCCTCCCAGTATTTGACCGAGAATTATAGTTACATCATGTGCTGGTCAACTGTCATACCAGACCAAGTTTCGTTCTGACAGCCACTGTAAATGGAACCTAATCCGCGATTATTTCATTGAACTTTCAGGTATCTGTCATCCTTTTCAACGTTTCGACATTTCTTCCTGGCGACCAAAACACAGATGATTGTTATCACTCAACCATGGCGTACGCTGGAACGTTTAACATCAGATACTTTAAGTCTTTCCTAAAAGGCGCACAACCAAAAGGTTAGAAAAAGCGAGGTATACCAACTATATGCTTTTGTCTAAATAGCCGCCTTCAAGCTTTTAGATCTTTACTTGCTCTCAGGAGAACTTCATAATTTGTGAGGGGTGGTTGACTATTTTAAGACAACGTTATCACAAATTAGTGAATCTTATTAAAGGTGGTGGGTCATGGTATTTTCAATACATTTTTAACTTCTATTTTCGTTAATTGCGAGCTTTCAACAACGAAATTTATGCGTGAAAGAAAAAACACCTTCAGTTCACAAAATCGGCGAAACATAACAAATATATAGAGTTGAAAATTTTTTATGTGTTAAAAAGCGTGTCGAGCTCACCTTATTGGAGTCCTGTTTTTCCCCCCTGTTTTTCCCTCTCATGCCCCTTTTTGTCTTATCTGTGTTTCTTTTGTGTTCCTCTTAAGTTTGAAGCAATTCTGATCGTTTGCAAAGTGCTGACTTAGCCTGAAATAGCGTTATCTTCCCTCCTTTGGGAAACTGATTAACTTGTATTTAAACTAATCAACTTTATCATGTCTAACTAGGTGGCACTCGGTTCATCAAGGCCTTCAAAAGAGCCTTTCAGATTCTCAAACACACCTTTAACACTTCATCGCAGTCGATTGTCACCAGGCCCTCTATGATTCTTCTTCTCACGGACGGAGGTCGAAAGACAAGTCTAGTTGAAGATGCCATAGTGGAAGCTGTGAAAGAGGAAGTCGAGATGTTTCGAGATAAATTTAAGAAAACCAGCTTCAAACTTATGACACTGAGTTTTGGAGTCGAGAAGAAACACAATGAATTCTTGCATAAGCTTACTTCCGCTACGGTGAGGGGATGAGGTTGAATTTAGACAGTCAGTTTACTGGTATATAAACTGAATCCCTTCCAACGCCTAAGACATTAACGTCCAAACCTTTTTCGGAGGACATATCAAAACTGACCGATGGAGTAAAGTATAGGTGTTTTAAATATCTACCATGAAAAACCTTAGGTCTCTTCAGTTTCTTTTCATAATAGGAACTTTGTGGGGTGGGGGAGTGCATGGGGTATGTTGGTGTGTATTCCTTTCTGTCTCTCCTCTCAGCTATGACCATCTCTATTGATTCCTCTATAGGCTACTTCCGAGTTCCAAAAACCCCCCTCTCTTTCAAAATGAGGACAAATACACAACCTTTCTTGTGAAAATGAGTTTTATTTGCATAAGAATGAAATACCATTTCCATATCAAAGGCTGAGCACTAAACCTTGTTTTGATACAGAGGCCCGGGGGAACTTGGAAATGGCTTATTCTCAGAGCTTTGCTTTTTATAAGGCCTTCCAAGCATACATTTCAAGGAAGGATTTAAGATAACGGGGCCTCGTAACCAGGCAAATTCTCTGCCATTGTGGATAAAGTTATAGTTTCCTCTATTTATTTGTTTATTATACAAATAATACAAATACAGTCACATTGTTTGTTTCTTTTAACAGAATGGATTATTCATGTCGGCCCATCGAAACTCGGACACTTATTCCAAGTTGAAACCTTATTTTGACTATCTGACGAAAGTTACTCCAGCTAGCAACAATGACGTTGTGTTCTGTCCGCCTTATGTAGATGCGTGGGGACTAGGTAAAAATGCTTGACGTTTCTTTAACGACTGGAAGAAAATTACAGTTGTACTCGGTGGACTGGTTCCTTCCACACTCGCTCATTTCTTAATATCTTTACTGCGCGCTTAATTTATAAATGGCAACATAATTTACCAAGCGTTTGAGCGCATAAAGAAAAAAAACCCATCACCTAAGGCTTCGGCCAATTCAAATCAGATATTTTAATTTTGATTTTAAAGTTGCGTTAGATGTGAGGAGGTGTCATTGACTAATTGATTCAGAAAGAAACAATCCGAAGACACTCGAGTCAATCACGGTAAACCATAAACTTTAAAAAGTTTCAAGAGCCAATATAACTTACATCGTTTAACTGACCAACTTAACACCAGCCAAATTGAATATCATCTTGTGATAGTTAAGCGGCCGTTAGATAACATTCTCTGGCAAATGACAGCACTGTATGTATCACTGTTCATCCTTTCCAGACGTATTATTCCTCAGATGATTATCCTGGAAAGACCTCTGATAACCCCCACTCTTAACCTTTTTAAACGTTTGGACAAATTCATCTCCTCATAATTGGACAGCTAATGGCACTTAATGCCAAAATATTACAAGAATTGGCAGTTCTTGGCGACTAAAGTTAGTTTGGTCTGGTTTGACCTTCGATCAAGGTACTTACTGCGTAAAATACCTTTCGTTACACTAGCAAAAATAAAAAGTGAAAAAATAAAAACCTGCATTGAAATAAAGAAACTTCTCAGTGGCCCTTCTTTGAACCTGCATTTTCCCACAGGTTATATGATAACAGCGGCCAGTGCTGTTTTGAAAGACAACAAGCTTCAAGGTGTAGTCGGAGTGGATATTCCCATGACAGACCTGATATCCGATGTCCAGTATTTTTCGAAAGGCGCTGGCTCCAAGTCCTACGCATTTCTGTTTCACACCAGAACTGGAATAACACTGAGTCATCCGAAATTACCAACACCAGAGTCTATCACTGAAGATCCCAATGCTGTGAATATACTGGAGCTTGAAGAAGGGAAAGAATTCAAGGACCTGTTTGCGGAAGTTCAGGAGTCAGCGGCAGGGTATGTCTCTGTTAATCCATTCAGTCCCAGATTTAGATCAATAGAGAGATGGTAAATTTCAAAAAGAAGTAAGGCACTGAATCGGTTGGGAACTGAAGCACAAAAATGCCAGCCCTTTTTAGTTGCTCAGTGCGAATCAAGTGATTGTGGGTAGAGTTTTCCAACATTATATCAAACCACAATGAAGTGCGATGTGACAAACGAAGATTTTTCATTTTATCGCTACCTCACGAAACACTACTTCTCTCAGTGAGAGTCAAGTTTTTGTAGCCGTTAGTAAAGCTAGGAGGAATTCAGGCACAAAGCTGATCAACTATGCAGGATCGGTTAGCCAGAGTACCACTGCCACGGTGGTGATTCCCCGTTCCTTTCTTCTGTTCATAATTGAGTGAGACGAATGTTACAGCCTGTGTATGAGGACGTGCTACAGATGAGCGCGATTTCTATACCTTCCTTTTTATTTTCAGTCAACCATTACAAAAGAACATATTTGAGAAACAGCATTACTTGCCAAGAGGAGGATCATTAGGAAATGGTGTGATGAATGTGACAGTGGATTTCACTTATCATTGTCAGCCCCTTGAGGTTGGAATGAAGGAATACACTGTGTGTATTGCCATGGAAAAAAATGATCACTCCTATTTATTTAAACACGATGGAATAGGTGGGTTTTTTCTTTTTACTATTGATCATTTTACTAACATACGTAACTTTTAAAGCTTTACACCTGCATAACAGCAATGGTAGTCATTTAAGTGGTTATCTACCCAATTTCCATACGTACCTGAATAGTCCCTCGATCAAAATAGTCTTCACCAAACACTAAGTTGTAAACAGGTCTTCTTCTCGCTGAAATTTGTAAGCATCATTGTTTACTTCTGATGCAGTGGCGGATCCAGGAGAGGGGCCCGGGGGGGTCGGGCCCTCCCCTTATTATTAGACCAAACTGAAGCCCGAAGGGCCGAAAAAGTTTTTTTTGGAGACCGGCCCCTCCCCCTTTTATCTGAAGGTCTGGATCCGCCACTGAGATGTGACCTGCAAAGTTATTTATGACTAACCCTGAGCCTTTTTTTTAACTTTTAGACGAGTAAGAACGGAGACTGGAGTCACGTTTGCGACTAACTTCAAATAAGCGCCCTTTAGCTGCCCTCTTCTAATAATGACCCTTTCACCGCTTCTCGTTCCCTTAAAACACAATTTACAGATGTTGAACAAGAACCATTTATCAGCATCGTTGTAAAGAAATTATCTCAAATAATATGATTACTGCAGCTTGAAAAGGTTTTGTAAACAGACGCTGTTTCTACCACATGATAAGCTCCAGCCTTGTTGCTTATGCTAAAGTAAATAAAAAAGTCATAAATTCAAAGAAGCGCTATTTTTCGACTTAACCCTCCTCAACCTCCATTCCCTCATACTGAATTTAAATAAGCGTCCGAGCATTAAATTGAAACCACAGAACCATCATTATTGTAGGCCTTTCTCAACTGTTTGAGGAACATCATATGTAAAGAGTGAATTCAGCTGAATCTATTTATTTTTTCACAGCTTTGGGTGCCTCTTCCCACCCAGTTACCTATCACCGCATGGATGTGTTACCAGAAGCCAAGACCTGTTACCACACCGACACATTGTCTTATGCAGGTACGCCAGTAAAAGGGAAACTGTGGTGTTGGCTGGTCTCAAACTAGCAGGTTTGCTTGTGGGACAATGCTAAGAAAAATCAGAATGATAGCCTTTGAAAGGGCGAAAAATAATATCGACCAGCGCTGTACTCTGAGCCACGCTGGGGTTACTTTACTTGTTCTCTTGCTTGCTTTTTGCTCTGTACTTCACCTGCTCTAAGTGGAATACCTTGTCTTCTGGAAAATGGGTAGTAAAATGCCAACTATAGTGTTGGCTGGTTTCTAACAGGCGGACTGCTTGTGCGAAACTTTCTCTCCTGTTTCACTTAGGATAGTAGCCTTTAAAAAAGCGAAGAATAATATCAGCTAGTTAGCAATGTATTCCGAGCCACGCTGAGGTTAATTTGCTGTTCGCTCGCTTAATTTGTGCCCTGTACCCCACAAAAAAGGGTTCTTTACGGATTCATTGATACTTCATTTTGGTTTGTTTGAGTGTTGGCATTCGCCATTTTAGAAACGAGAGGGAAACGCAGCCAAGTTAACTTTCGTAAAGACTTGTGCGACTGTTTCTAGGGACAGGAAAAAATTGTCCAATAGCTGACCGGCGCGTCCTCAGCAACCATCCTACAAACAATTGCGGGACGCATTTCGGTTCCAGTTCCCTTCTCGTTTCTAAAAAGGCTAATACATGTCATTAGAGGTTCGTTACTTCCTAAGTCCTTTATCGTTATACTGGAGTGAACTTACTTTTGACTTCTCTAGATCGCTCCGTTATTCAGTTGAGCGCTAAAGCATTTAGGGATCCTTCTGGCTATTTTGAGGAAGAAGACAGTCCAAGTGCTGTGCGACGCTATTCAAAGCAATTAATGAAAGGAATACTAGGGCGTGAGATACAAGATAGCGTCTTAAATGAAGATATTTCAAAGGTGTGTTTCTTTAACAGCCTGATGATGATGGATAAATTTAATTGAATGGTGCGTACAATATACGATGACAATGATCATGACCCTCACGTAGATGCTGACTCATGATCTGTTAGAAATTTAATCCGCAAGTTATAATTGAAAAACAAAACAAAGCAGTGATAACTACAAAAGAAAAAGGAATAATTACTAAACAACCAAATGCAACAGAAGAAGACGCGCCCCCTATCGGTCTTCACATGAAACACGCTACTTCAAAACCTTTGATTTCTACTACCGACATCAATGCTACCACCACCACCACCTTCACGGCCTTTTTTGAATCATTTAAAACATTTACTACAATTGAAAAGACTTTACGAAGTTACGAACATCGAATAACAATTATTGGGTCACATAAGGCTGGGTATGATATGAAGAATGAAGGAGATCGAAAAGAATGTTAAGCTCCGTGCAAACGGACGAAGCGTTGTTGGCCAACAACCCTAACATTGTTTGGTGTTACATTTTGTGTTCGTTTGCACGGAATGCTGCACATTGTTGTGTGAGCTGGAAGTGAGGTTGGAAGCGTAACAATGTTGGATCTGTTTGCATAGCCCTTCCAACATTGCTGGGGCTTCACATGCGCATTACACATGGTCCCTTTGAACATAATTTGTGGTGTCACAGTATTGCCGACAGGATTCTGTTAGTTTTTCAATGTTATAGTACGATGCACTGCAAGACCCAACATTGATGCGAGTTGTTGCATCTGCCAAAACTACCCAACAACTCCCAATCTTGGCAGGTCAACAATGTTGAGAGTTGTAGCGTCCGTTTTCACGTAACCTTACAACACCATACTATATGATATCAATTCAAAATTCAATAATTATTTTATTACTCATTCAAACTCGTTCATAACATCCTGACCTCCTTTTAGAATTCCCATATCTTGACAGTTTCAGGATGCGAAATTATTTCACTGCTTCTACATAACCACTTTCAACACTGCTTTACAAAGCTTTTTGCTCTGCATGCAAACGAGGCTGCCATAACGAGCTTACAGACATTTTACAATTTCTCCCCAGGTGGCATTGTTCACTTCGCATATCGAAAACGCCGTGTGGGGATCCGAAAACTACAAATCATTTACCACCAGACTTGTGCGTCGTTATATTGGAACCTACAGTGGCGTTCTGCGCATTTTTCCGGGTGCACCGCTGCCTGCGAATTTTGATCATGTGACGCGGCCATGGTAAGACAACATCATTGAAAGTGCGCTCCCGCCAAAGCGGGAAATAGTTAGATTATGTAAAAAGAGTTTTTATAAACGTAAAGTAATTTCGTGTCGTAAAGGTAACAAACATTTAGGCTTATGATGTTTCACGGATGAAAGCTTGATAGGCATTTAAATTTTATCACGACCACTCAAATTTTCTGGTAAATGAAATTTGTCCACATGCCTTATCGTTACTCGTGGCCATTGTCTTGCATTGTTTCCCCTATTCTTTTCAGACGGTGTTCTTGTGCTAAATTTGTTATGACGGCTACCTTTTGAAGGCCTCCAGAAAATGTCATTGGATATTTTATAATTGTACTAAAAGATGGCTGTAAAAAGTCCTTTACCTGATCTTATCCCTTTTTTTTTCTTTTAGGTTCATTACCGCAGCCGCGAACAAGGATGTACTGACCCTAACACCACCCTACCTAGACCCCTTGGGAGCAGGATTCATCGTATCAATCAGTCATTCCCTAAAAACAAAATTTAATAACAAACGTTCGTTAGAGAAGCTGTTCGGTGTTGTTGGAGGAGATCTTGCCGTGTCAAGTCTCGGTGCAATATTGGCAAAGAAAATAGGAACAAACTGCAAAAATGCCGGGATGAGATGCTTCCTGATGGACAATAGTGGTTACATTGTTTACCACCCCAACTTTGAAAATGTCTTTAATGACTCAAGCAAGGTACGGCCGAGACAAAGCCTCTAGAAAAAGTAGGAGGGTAGCAAGGGTGGTGAAGTTTTGAGTGCCTTCGCTTCCCACCAAAGTATCGGTGTCAACGCCATACAAATTATGTGGGTTGAGGTTGTTATTGGTTCTGTCCTTTGCATCGAGAGCTTTACTCCGGGTACTAAGGTTTTCCCCTAATTAGACCCGGAATGGTAGACGAAGAACCTCCGCATGAACGTGCTACGTCTAAATCATTATTTCTTATATGATATACATTTATTTGGTTGTTTTTTTCTTTATCTAATAAAATTATATGGGCATCGAAGCAGGGAAAAGAATTGAAATGTGTCCCTCAGACATGGTAAAACCATGCCCACCGACTAAGCAATCTCAACTGTTTTAATAAATGTGTACAACGTGAGAAGAACAATTGAGACCGATCTGAATTGCCTGGTATCGAATTCATACCAGCCGACAAAAATGAGGGACTGTTTCATTGTCTGCTGAGTTTTGGTTCCGACTTGTTTGCTATTCCCTCAGTGATTGGCTGGCATGACCAGGGCTCGATTGTTCAAACGGTTCACCGCTGTCTATCCACCAGATGAATCTCATCCAGCGGATTAGTATTGGGGAAACCAATTGCGCTATCCAATGGATAGCGTTATCCACTTTTTGAACAACTGCAGCATAGGCGGCAGTACAGAGAAGCATAAAACTATGCCTTCTGTTTTCATTTCGTAACGGTCTTTCGTTAGCATTCATCGTACAATAAGTATTTTTTTTAATTTTAGATTGTGAGCAAACACATCACTGAGATGGATGGTGCCATTGCACAGGATCTGATTAAGAACAAAGTTATGAAGAGGCAGGCATGCCAGAATTTTAATCTCTTAAAACTACAACGATTTTACGAGGTACTGAACGTGTAGTAAAGAGAAAGCAATAGGATTGAGGTGTACGAGACAACAGTTATTTGTAGCCATGTACCACAGCTATGTTAGTTGCGTATGGCATACAATGTATACGAAAGTGTTCCCGGCTATACGCACGCCCGTACTACTTATGCACGTAACTGGAAGTGAACCGATGGACATTTATCCGTGTAGGGCTATACAAAGGGCCTTTAAATTCCAGCAAACAATGAACATGATTTCAGCGTATAAGTTTAAGATTAACAGGGTGATGTATGATTTACTTTTGCATGTTGTGGAATGAAATCTTAATTATAATCGAATTCATATTCGAATCTATATGTGGTAGTTGTAATCCTGTGCCGTTTATTCTGAAAAATTAGATTACTTTGGACGACGAAAGCTTCAAAGGCAAGACCACAAAGAAAGGTTGCGAGTCTTACGAAATTGCCAAGCTACGAAATACAAACGTTTTTGTAGTTCAGGTAGAAGCAGAAATCTGCCTCACCAATGTAATGACTTGTCCTTGCGATGATATCTGTAAGTCAACCAGCGACCAGTTTTGTGAGTGTCCTTGCAAAGGCCGCTTGAAGTATGACATCTGTAACGCCAACGTCACTGGTGAAAGGTTAGTAAAAAGACAAGTGAGGTGGTGTTGTATTGGCGTCAACCGTTTTTAGTTAGTTGGCTTTTTTCTTGTTCTACTGGGAAAACGCGGTTTTGGCTGGTTTGTTTTAATCCGCAACTTTTCTAGCTTGGATGAAATGGTTGGAAGTGATCTTGATGGGAAGCTTCCACTGATCTTTTAACAGGCATCGATTTTAAAGTGTTATGATTACCTCACAACAGTGTACACTATGGGGATTATCGCAGGGCAGCCTATTCACCCGCCGGTGCCTTTTGTGATTAACCGGGTCTTAGCTAGTGATTGACGTCAGAAATTAAGTAAGGAACTATTCTTTTACTTTAGGCTAAGGTTGCGTTTTTCTAATAGTCCCATACAAGGAAAAACAAAAAGAATTAATTAACATTTAACTGAAACTTTCTGTCCTGTTTAAATAGGCCGGTCTCTTCATGACGCTGGTCACCACAATATGTTTTCTTATTACATTCCCACCTTCTGTACGGTTGCATTGCTTATATTGCTTGAATCTTTTTCAGTGACCTCCCAGTTTGTGCGCCAGGATCGCCACCCTTAAATCCTCGTTGGCCCCTTTCAGCACACCCAGACGACATAGGCGAATGCATCAGAATCAGCTGTGCTCAGTACAAGTCCAAACATGACTGTAATGAAATCTTTGGCTGCGTCTGGTGCCATAAAAAGATGACGGATGGATCACTTCTAGAGCATCCCAGATGTAAAAAGGATAAAGAGTGTTTTGGTGGCGAATTAGGACGGTCAAATCCATTTCTACTTCCGCTCAAACCGAGAAAGACGAAACAACATTCTCGATCGTTCAGACTTGTCGGTTTGGAGTTAAGCATGACGACTCTTGTTGCTGCTGGTAGTGGTGTGGGAGGCGGTATATTAATTATTATCATCATCATCTGTTGTCTGTGTAAGAGAAAGAACAAATGGAATGTCGACTTAGATGATTTGGACATGTTCGAGCCAGGTTGGTATACGTGGTACTCGGGCGGAAATTCATCATTTCCCTTCAAACAATATATAAGGTCATTCAAGATTTAGCGTAGACTAAGTAGAAATGACAGTTTTACAGACACCGACTTGAGGACGGCGTCTGCTTTAATAAGGGGAATTATACCTATGTACATAAGATCGAGCATACTGAAGTTCGCCTTTACGACCCTAAATCGTCCAAGGTCACATGAGCACTCACCTCGACTTTGTATTGGTAATTTCAATAAATTTACTGCATGTAATATCAGCTTCCGCTGACCTTAAAGCCACTTCTGTTTTTTTTTTTTTTATGTCATGGGAGGGGAAGTTGGTTAGGTAGTTACAGGTTTTTGCCTTTTTTTCTGAGCCCCCTATAAGCGAGTTGATCTTGAATTTTTTTTATTTAACTCATTTATTGTTGCAAATGTTACAGATCTTCCCATGATGGATTACCCTGGACAAGTGCAGTCCACAATGCACATGGGTCAAAGGCAGTCCACAATACACATGGGACAGAGACAGTCCGCGATGCACATGGGACAGCGGCAATCAGCAATGCATATGGGGCAAAGACAGTCCACAATTCACATGGGACAGCGGCAATCTAACATGCAGATGCGATTGGCAGCCCCTGGTAAGCATACTTTATAGCGGAGCTCTCGCGCGCGAAGCGCGCCAGCGGAGCACCATGGGTAAGAAAGTGAAGTAATCTACCCATCCGAGAAAATTTGGTAATCGCGTGACCGTACAACGCCCTCCCGAGAGAGCATCCGTCCGCACCACAGGCCTACCAATGTAAAATAACTCAATCAACAGGGTTTGGCAACCCAAATCTAACTCGAGGTTATTTTGGCGGGAAATCGCATAGCCACCCGCGTCTTGTAAAGCAGAGACAACACAAGAGTCGATAAAGACCAAAACGGAAAGCGCTAATTGTTTCTGCATCCATGTTGTCTAAAGTATTAAGCTTAGATGAATTGTCATGTCCACAAATCTGGAATATAGAGCGAGAGAAAGACAGAGAAAAAGAGAAAGTGGGCGGCAGGCCAGCGAAGCTCAACGAGAAAAGGGCGACAGGGATTTAGAGCGAGAAATAAAAAACAAAGGAGACATTTTTTTGTTGGAAGAATAACATGAAAATTTTGTAGCGGCGGTGAAAAAATGAGAAATACTAGCGGCCACCAATGGAAGGTGAAAATGAGCGGCAGTGAAAAAAGGTGAACGGGAACACGTACGACATTTCCTCCATAAAACGTGTAAAAGACGTTTCTGAAAGTTTCACGTTTTAGTCGTGCAAAACAAAGGCAAAGAAATGTACAAAAAAAGTGTGCTGCAAGTGCAAAGTTGCTTTTGCTAATTAGACCTATTGTTGTTTTTCACCTTTTTCCGGCGTTGCATGCCTTAACCGCTTAGCACTACACGATTTTATATTTTGTTTGAACAAACTGTAAATATCATCGAGAGCTTCGCTTTTAGTCCTGGCTAAATCTATATATTAATTAAATCCACTCTGGTGGCTGCAGTGTCGGAGGGTAATGCCCGAGAGTGATAGATTGTTAGACAAATGAACATTTGGCCGAAAATTGAAGCTTTGCGCGCAACTGTGAGATTGTGAAGACGATCTTTCACCCGAAGGCATTATCTTTTCATTCTAGCGTTTCGTTTGCCCGCTTAAGTAGGATAAAAGTTAGAACTTGTTGTGATTGTCTTCGCGGGCGCATGCACAAGCACATGGTAACAGCTTGAATTTTTAACATATTTAATTACAGTCTTCGTTTCCTTTATCGAGTCCAACTTGCCCGCCCAGAGGCACGTAGATGCAAGTATCTAAGTTCTGTTTTGTATAATTCAGTTTCACGTATAGCGCGACTAAGACTAAGAAAAGTACTATATAGTTAGTGCCAGCCAAGCGCACTGCATGAAGTAGCCTTTTACAGGCGCTGAGATATAATAGAGTGCGGTGTTCGGATGGCCGGGAGCGAGATACATCGTACGCGGAGGAAACGAGGGGGAACAAACGAGGGGAGAATTGAGTCTCTCCTTTTTTGCTTTTTTTTTTTTCGTCAATTTTTCGACCGCGCTCTACTATCTGAACGCCTGGAACAGGCTATTTATAAAGCGGTATACGGGTAAAGGTCAGGAAACGTTAATTATCCCACGATTGACTGCTTGTGACATTGTGTTATTAGGAACGCAGTACTCTCAGCAAGCAATGTCCACCATGTGGTGTAAAGCATACGGACCATCACAACTCATGAACTTTGTTCCTCAAGTCAGTACCATGCAAGCACCGGTTTCCACAGTCCGAACAGCTCCCCCCAACAAGGCCACACCCAACACCCCGAGGAGGGTGTCCCTCACTGCCGACATCACGGAAATGCCAACTGAAGATTCTTCAATCTCTTATCCCGATGACCAAGAGTTCTAAAACTAACCATCTTGCCTTTGTACTACTTCATCTTATTTCCCTTTTTTTCGATTTTGCTTGATCTTAGTTGTTCTTGTACGTCTATAAAATAGATCACTTGTATGGTTTGGAATTTTTTGCTGTGTATTAAGGAAAGAATTGTAACTCGTGACCAAAACACGTTTTCTCTCGTATCTTTGCGGATCTCTTTTTGCTGCAATGTTCGGTACGTCTGTATCAGTTAGAACCAATTAAGTTCGATTGACCTTGTTTTCCGTATCGAAAAAAACGTTTTTTTTTTGCTATAAAAGCTTTTCTTGTACCAGATAAAGGATCTTGACGCAATAAAAGATGCAAGGCAACCAAAAAAGATCAGACGTTGTATAGCATGTTATTCTTGTTGTTGTTATAATACGTGAGGGCCAAACACAAGGTCGTGAGACAACGTTTGCTAAGATTGAACTCAGTTCTATTTTGTGTTTTGCTCTTTATTTATCAACAGAGGAGGGAGCTGGTGAACTGGCTCTAGCTGGGCAAAGAAATGTTTAGCTCTGACTCGTGAGAGGGAAAAGAAGTTGAAATTTCAACAATTGGAACACTTTTATTTGCCCTTCAGGATGCTACAAAACACATTTCAGAGGACAAACGTTTTTAATATTTGCCAGAGGCAGGAGCTGATTATCAGAGGAGCCTGCCCCTAAACCCCACGAGGTAGTCTACGATACTAAAGGTTGGATTTCGTCCTTTATAACCTCCTAACACTAAAGCTAGATCTGCCCCAGTTTGGTTTGTTACATTGTTGGCTTGCCCAAAGTATCAATATTTAAATGATAACTATATAACCTCAGCTTACAGAGGATAAAATGTCAAAAGGTAATTTAAACACCTTTTTCACTCCCAAATGATTTTGGAAAAGGGGGGGGGGGGGATCGGGAAAACGGTTCTACTTTCCCTCAGAGGATAGGTCAAATATTGAAGTTTTGGTTAACAATCCACTGGCAAATTATGATAAATTTCGATTTAATATCATGAACAGTTGTGGTTACGGGAAGTGTTTTGGGCGAGTTAAATGTGTTGAAAGAGGATTCCATGAGTTAAAGTTTTTAACCTGGCGCTTTACTATTTACTCAGCCTAAAATAACGAACTGAACTGACTGTTTCGAACTGTGTCGTTCAAGTCGCAAGGCGTTTCTCCACAATGTAGCGATCATAAGGAAACCAGGCTTAAACACATCTAAGCGGTATGTAAATGACTGTACGTAGTCAAACCCACAGTGACATTCAAGACAACGCAAGACATTAACAAATTTTTTTTATTTTAACTCTATTGGAATATTGTACAATCAACCATGGTGAAATATCGCTTCCATTACTTACTATATATTATTTCACCGAAAGACGGTTACAGTTAAAAAAGAGTTTCCATTTAGTTTAGAGTGATATAATTCTGATAGAAAATAAATGTTCACTGGCGAGATAAAGATGGGTTTTAAAAGCAGATAAGTTACTTCAACTTAGTAAAAGTCTTGAACTATTGGCCTAAAATTAACAAACGCGCATTTCGTAATAATTATAAATAATTCAATTCATTAATCTATTAAGGTACTTTGCTTATATTATATAAAAATGCTAAACGTTATTTTTTTTTTTCAAAATGTAATAATTTTTCGTCGCTATCATTGTTTTCTGCCACAATCAAATCTGACAGACTTAATATCTAGTAATTTCCGCCACGGATAATTAATCATAGAAGACTGAAGTCCTTGTCGTGAAAAAACAAAACAAAAACAAAAAAAACAAAAAAAACAAAATTAATGATAATAATGATAAATGATGATGATGATGATGATGATGATGATGATGATGATGATGATGATGATGATGTTGATAATGGGACCTGTTTGGCGCTAAGGTTTACAGATGTGGATATGAGATAAAAAAAAAATGATAGAAAAAGACAAACTAGAAGTATTTAAAAGGCCAGATAAACACCAACCAGACAATTTTGTTTAAAAAAGTCATTTTCAAAAGGTGAATAATGAACTTATATATCTTACATAGTCATCCCACTAATATAAACAGCAGACATTCCAAATACTTGTAGATACAGTTGTTATCGTAATTCGAAATGTGACATAGATGCACAAGTCAAAAACCTGAAGATTTTGAGTTCAAATTGTACCAGTACTTCTCCATTGAGGCAATCTGTGATTTGCAAATCAACTGAATGAACAGTCAACGTCATTTCATTTTAATGTTTTAAAATTATTGGAATTACGTTGTCTTTTTTTTCTTTTTTTGTCTTTTTTTGCTTTTCTTCTTTTTTGCCATTGATTTTCTGATCTATAACAAAATATATGTTTATTTGCGCAGTGTTCTTTGCCTTTGCTTCTTGGTTTAAAACGTTGGTTCCAGCTAACATGATCGAAGTCTAGTTTAAACAAATTCATTAAAAAACAACAACAACAAATTGCTTGTGAAGTAAATGGCTATTTGAGATGTTCCAGCTGGCTTATCATCGGCTAAGAAAACAATAAACAGCTATAAACAGAAAATAATAACAATGGACCTTAGTACTGAAACAATAGCGCTGTGTTCTATCAAGAATCTATTGAAATGGAGGTACTGAGGTTCGTATCCCTAGCCACACTTAATGTTAAATTATTAACTACTCAGCAGTACTGCACCGCTATGCTCGGGTGCTCCAAGGGAGAGATTCTAATTTTGATTCAGTTCTTAAAACTTTAGCACTCTACGCATATTATGAATTCAGCGCTATTTGAGGCAGTTTCTCTCTCGTCTGTCAGCTAATTCTGCCAACACTTGACCTGTTGAGTGATGACTGTACTTGAAGATTAACTGCTGCTAATTACTCAAAAAGAACAAAAAGTGTATACAATGAGTGACAGAAATTTCTCTCCTTCTTTAATGGGCGGTCGTGTTGTTCGATCTGAATACGGACAATTTTCTGAGACGACTTATTGGTATCTCCCCCTTTTCAGAGCCTCGTTCGTACGTAAAACGTCACCTGCGTATGGGACATTCCCACACGTGCATTTTACAATGTATTACTGAAGGATTGATGTTAGCAGCACTGTGAGCTATCCCGCGACATGTACACACATAAAGTCCTTTCTGAGGTGAATTAAGCTTAAATTCTTGCGCATAATCAGTAGAACACGCCATCCCCACCACTTGATAACCTGGTCGTTGCAATTGGTTGTAAGAAACTGATGCATCTACCCCGGCCCCACGAGAGGAAACTGGTGTCCCTGTAATAAGTTTGTGTTCGCAAGCACTGCCGAGTTTTTCCTTATTTAATGTTGCATTAACTGTCACTATTGAGTTTTTCAACGTCGTTAAATACAACCGAAGAGCTTCATGGGTAGAGTTCTGCACCTCATTTACTTCGGTCAGCGTTTTTATCACAGTACTCACTTGTGCGTATCTTTGCTCCAGGTTCCCGGTCCTTGTGCTCACGTTACCGCTGAATGCTTTCAGTTCCAGGACGCTTGAATTGAGTTGCACCACGTTTGCTGTCAAAAGATTACTGATTATCTTGGCCTGGCTGTGATTTTGTCGCAGTTCGTTCACTTTCGACGTCAACTCATTGTTTAAATTTTTGATCTTTGAGTCCAGTTTTTGCTCAGCTGAACCGTCGACAAAGGCGACCTTGTTCGCAGTCTTATTGAGTAACTTTGCTTGTTTAGAAACTTGTTTTTGTAGCGATCCGACCTGATTTTCAAGTTTTGTAACACGTGAGTTTGTAGCACTCTGCCGGTCTTCCATCTCAGTTTTCATGTCTTTCAACGACTTTACACTTTTTTCTAAATCTTGAATGGTGCGCAGTAAGTTCTGCACTGATACACTGCCCATTTCTGTCAGGGGGGGACTAGTCGAGCCACTCTCTGTGCATCCACATTTAGGTTTCAATGGGCCAGCAATTGTAAGAACCACCAGAGCTAACGCAGCAAGGGAAATAGCGAGAATAGTCAATAGAAGTGTATACAGCGCAGTCTTGCCGATAGGTGTATCGCCTTTCTTGGGTACAGAGTCCGCGGAAGAGGTTGACGATCCTCTACTCGCGCGGTCCGATTCAGTAGCGTGTTTTGAGCGTAGGGGAAGAGTTGGTGAGGGCCGCATCTCTTCGTAAAGCAAATTCGTTTTTCTCCTCGGTCCAGCATTAGTTTTATTTGCAATGCTTTCATATTCATGGCGTTCACTCGAGCTGTCCTCGCTATGCTCAGCGCTATCGAATGTCGGGTTGCTGTGAACCTCCCCAAGGTAGGAAATGACGGATGAATTGTTTGAGCCAATGCTCCGTAGACTACCAGAATATCCGCATGGAAGACTCAATAGCAAACTGTTCATCTTTTCTGAGCTCAAAGCCATCGTTACTTGTTTTCTTGCAAACTACAACGTGCTAGGCAACTCTATCTTAGTCCAAGAGTTCGAGACTTGTCTCAGTATTGTTCCTGTTATTGATGCCTTCGCACCCTGACTATTCTTTCGCTGGATTATTTCACGCTTTTCCGCTTATAAAAAGCGTCTTGTACGTGCTCCAGGTCATACGTAGGTGTTAAATAGATATGAAAGTAATCCTACTGCCTTACGTGTATAAATAGACGGCGACGACGTGTGTGATGTNACGTGCTAGGCAACTCTATCTTAGTCCAAGAGTTCGAGACTTGTCTCAGTATTGTTCCTGTTATTGATGCCTTCGCACCCTGACTATTCTTTCGCTGGATTATTTCACGCTTTTCCGCTTATAAAAAGCGTCTTGTACGTGCTCCAGGTCATACGTAGGTGTTAAATAGATATGAAAGTAATCCTACTGCCTTACGTGTATAAATAGACGGCGACGACGTGTGTGATGTAGGACATGATACTCTATAAACATGGATATGTGCGTAACAAAATACGATTTTGGTCACGCATTAAGAGAATTCTTTCGTAGATTCTACATAAGTTCACTTCTTTAAGTGAATTTGGAGTAAGTGTCTCCCTAAGCACAATTAAGT